GTCTCAGTTCTCAACTATTACACATCTCTAGAGACAAAGCTAGTCCACTTCCGCCGACTATAAGTCTCGGTTCTAGGGATACGCAGTGTATTTTTCAGGCTCGGTTGGGTTAGAAGTACCCTGCTTGTGATGTACCACAAGTTTATCCAGAAGCGGACATTTCTCTTCCCGAGCGTTCGTCAAATACTCAGTGACATAATATGGAGACACTACTTCTGTGGTTCTTCTAGGACCAGTGAGGATGTTAACCAGTAGAAATCAATGTATACACACGCATGTATGTATGTGTGCACGCATGGATATGGGTGTTTGTATGATTGTACGTGTTCAGGTTTGTATGTGTACGGTGTGCGCATGTCTAGGAGTATGAAAAATTGGTGTTTACGGGTAGAAGTAAGTATTCATGAATAGGCAAAAGTGATGGACTCAAGCCGGTATTTTCTTGTTACCTGTTCAGACACTAAAATAGCCCCTACTGAAGAGAAACCCTTTACGTGAAACTGGAAATTCAGAAGCTGTCGAAGCGAATCGAGAAAACTGGAATGCGATGGCGCAAGGAACTGGACCCTCGTAGGCATCAGCCGCTGGTCCTGTGACCTGAACTGACTTGAACAATGATCAATTATCAATTGAGTAATAAATATATAATGCAGTTGAGGTCAACCTTACTGTTCTTTTCTGTCCTGTTCTTACAACCATTAACCATGCACTTTCGTGCACCGATTTTGGTTGCTGTCTTTTGGTTGCCTATTTGGATAAAATAACAAAATGATGATTAGAATGTTGACAACAGACTTAAGCAGAAGACGGCGAATTTACATAGACTGAAGTTACAAGGATGATGAGTAAATGCATGAGCGCCACTGTTTGCGACACCTAGCCATATCGCTCAGTGTCTTTAACCATCGGTGAAAATAATCTCGGGGTCCCCAGCCAGGGAGCCTGACGGGACCCATGTGAGCCAGTCTCCCGGTCAGGGTTTTCACCCCCTCATGCCATGTCTTACTTTGACCGTCCTTAATCTTTTTCCAATTACTACAAGCCTCGGCAAACATCGCTCGCCGTGGCAACCTATCTGGTGACATGCGTAGCACATGTCCCAAACAGCGTAATCTATGAAGGTCGATCACTTGCTCCAGTGGATGACCTCGATTACCCCAAACTGTACGCCCAACCTCAGCATTGCTCTACCGGTTTCTCCACCGAACTCGTGCAGTGCTACGTAAACAGCGGTGTTCAAGCATCGACAGTCTATTTTTATCCTGTTCCCGTAATGACCAAGTCTCTGCACCGTAGAGCAGGACTGGCCGAACTGCTGCAGCACACACTCGACCCTTCACAGNATGTCGCGACGGCGCCACAAATGTCTCAAGTTGGCAAATACCAACCGAGCTTTCTGTATGCGCGCCGGCATTTCATCTGTGATGCGTCCGCCAAGTGATATATAGCTGCCCAGGTAGTAAAACTTGTCTACTTCCTCTACTACTTCGCCCGTCAGGGTGAGGTTGGGGACTGAACCAATCCAATCTTAGAGCAACATTTTACACTTTGAAGATGCAAAACGCACTCAAACCATCCAGAGAAGCTTGCAACTTACCTGGATGTTCACTTAGTAGCGTAGTGTCTTCTGTATACTCTAGGTCAGGTAGTCTGCCATTCAGGAGTAAATCAATACCGCTATCCTCGCACGAGCAAACTGCTGTTTCAAGAATTAAATCAATGACAAAGTAAACGAAGTCAGAGGACAACCTTATCGAACACCACTTTCTGTAGTGAACTGGGGTGAAGAGGTGCCATAAGCTCGGCTTTATTGTTATTATTATTATTCCTTTTC